AGCTGGGATTATAGGTGTGCGCCACCATGCCCAGCTACCACCTTTCTAATTTATTAAAAATACATGGTTGAGGCTTACTGAGTAGGTCCAGTTCATTTCTAAAGTTTATTTCCTCCCAACTAAAGTGGTTAGCAACTGGCGATTGACGTGCTAGACCAGCCAGATCTCAATATTATTGTTTACTTATCCAGCATTCTAAAAACCTCAAATCACTTTCTAAAACTTAACTTTATAAACTTTATATTTTGCCATATAAACTATAACACAAACTGAAGAATTGTTAAAATCTATCTAAATAAAGCTGTTTGCCAAAGGCAGAGTCTGAGGCCCACTGTTCTTGAGGAGGAGGTTGGCGAGTCCCAGAGGGGACCTGTTAAAGTCGCACCAACACCAGACAGACGCTCTTCTTGGCCTCAGAGGCTGAGGGCTAAAAGGGCCTGCAGCTGTGCTCTTTCATGTCCATGTTGTCTTGGGTCGCTGGAGTTCAGTGTCCCTTCCTGGAGACAGCCGTGGTTTGAATAATGTGGGACTTACTGAGCCTTTAGAATTCTCCCAAGTTAGCAGCTGAAGCACCTTCCTGTGGGTGGGCCCCACGTGCACTGCTCCAAAGCAAGAAGCCCAGCCACAGCCCCGGTTCAGCTGATGGCCTTTGAGCAACCTTCATTGCTCTTGGATTTTCACATCAGTGTTTGAACATGGACGTTGCCAGCAGGGTTAGCGATGCTGCTGTTCCACTTTCTCTTTTCTGTCTTTAGAGGGTTTTTGCCTCCTTCTCTTTCATCCTGAAATTCTGCTGGGGAGGTCTGAAAAGCATGATTTTTAATTGGTTCTGCCTTCAGATACCTGATGAAGTTCAAAGACACTTTCCACTTTGCTCTTTAAGCCCCTTGGTGTTTCACATCATGCCAAAACCAGAGACGGAAAAATAAAACCAATTAGCTTTTCCGAACAGCAGCGCCTCCACGCAGGGCAGAGGGGCCGTAGCTGATGAGTGAATCGCAGAAATAGTGTACAGCCCTGGGCGCCCTGCCCACCTCCCAGCAAGTCTCCCTTCCTTCCCTCAGGGCCCAGCAGCTGCTGCAGCAGATGTGAAAACTCTGGAGGGAGCTAACAGACCAGAACGAGGAGATCCAGTTTGATCAGTTGTCCTTTTACATAACAGCTCTTCACTCTTCTCTGAAATTGGGTGGGGATGGGTAGCTAAAACTAATTTACTAGATTAATGACACAATCTATTCCCTAAAGTGGTCCATGTAGGACTCATTTAAGTGGATTTTGCACAGGAGGGCCCCGGTAACTCGGCCTTTGCTTTCTCTCAGCAGTTACTGAATGCTGTTTTAAAAAAAAGAAAAAAATTGGCCAGGCGCGGCAGCTCATGCCTGTAATCCCAGCACTTTGGGAGGCTGAGGCAGATGGATCACCTGAGGCCAGGAGTTCAAGACCAGCCTGGCCAGCATGGTGAAACCCTGTCTCTACTAAAAAGACAAAAAATTAGCCAGTCGTGGCAACCTGTAATCTCAGCTCACTCGGGAGGCTGAGGCAGGAGAATTGCTTG